CGTCTCCCCGGGCCCCGCCCCGCCCCACTGCCCCCGGCCTCCCGCCGCAGGCCGGCCTGACCCGGCCGGGTCCGCCTCCCTCTCGCCCAAGTCCCGGCACTGTAGTCTCATCTAAGGAGCGACGGCCCAGCCCCGGGGCCATGGACTTCTGGCCAGAATGGCCGAGTGCACAGGCCAAAGGAACTGGTCGCGCAGAGAGCCGGGGCCCTGGCGTTCTGTGAAAACCTGTCCAGGGTTTGTGGGGGAAATGTAAAGAAATAGCATTTGCAAATACACGTCCGGCTAATTGTGCTGTGCACCCCAAGGCATATTAACTTTGCAAAGGGCTTCTGGAAGGGGTTAGACGATTGCCACCATTTTCAGAATTCGGACGCTGGGACCTAAGACTAGGAAAACCTCCAGGAGCTGAGGACGGGTTGTCAGGGAGCCTCGAAGCTGGCAGGGTACATAGAATACGTGCAGTCCCCACACATGAGAGAGAGGGACCCTGGGGCTTGGTGGTCCAAGGGTCAGGACGGGGCTGGCCCTGGGACATTAGGGGTTTCTGCATAAGCATGGGTAGAGGATGTGGACCCCCTGCTTTCCCAGTGCTGGCCTGTAAGGGTCCACCCCCTCACAAACACTGACCCTTTTGAGTGAAAGAGGGAGCTGTTAATTATGTCTGGGGCAATCCAGAAGGTCCAGGTCCAGTTTGGTTGCAGGATCATGCTGCTGGCCTGAGCCCACCCAGGAACCGGCAGGCGGGCAAACCCATCGGGGCACTTTGGGATAATCTCGGGAGGCTTTAGCTGGTTGCCAATTGGGTTTCTGTCACCAGCATTCAGAAATCTAATATGATAGAAGGAAGTAAAATAGGCAGTTTTATGGTTGACAGCCAGAGTGATCAAAAGTCTTCTGAAGTATTGCTTGAGACCTTATCAAGGTGCAGAGGCCATTTTTCTTTAAGACCTTGTAAGCTTGAACTGATAATGTGCTCTCTGGGGAGTAATCTACCCTCAGGAATTTGGAGTACTTGTTAACACCTTAGGAGGAGGTAAAGGGTTATTTTGTTCCTTCATGCCAGTGGTTCTCAAGCTTGAGCATACATCAGAATCACCTGCAAGGCTTGTTAAAACACAGATTGGTGGGCCCCACCTCAGAGTGTTTGCATTTCTTTCTTTTTTTAAAAAAATGTTTATTTTTGAGAGACAGAGACAGAGTATGAGCAGGTGAGGAGCAGAGAGAGAGGGAGACGAAGAATCTGAAGCAGGCTCCAGGCTCTGAGCTGTCAGCACAGATCCCGATGCAGGGTCTCATGAACCGTAAGATCATGACCTGAGCCGAAGTCCGACCCTTAATTGAGCCACCCAGGTGCCCCAAAAGTCACCCTTTTAAAGTGCACAGTTTGGTGTTAGTACATTCACAAACTTGTGCAATCATTACCACTAACTCTATCACTCCAGAAAGAAACTTCTTACGTATTAGAAACTTCTTACGTATCACTCTCCATTCCCCAACCCCCTCCACCCCTGGCGACCACTAATCTATTTCTGTCCCTCTGGGTTTGCCCATTGTGGATATTTCATATAAATGAACTCATACACTATGTGGCCTTTGTGTCTTGCTTCTTTCACTTACTGTCATGTGTTCAAGGTTCACGTTGTAGCATGTATCAGTACTTCATTCCTTTTTATGGGTAATATCCCATTGTTTTAATATGCCCCATTTTCCTTATCCACTCCTCAGTTGGATATTTGGGTTGTTTCCCCTTTTAGGCTGTTATGAATAATGCTGCTGTGAACATCTGTGTACGAGCTTTTGGGTGAACATGTTTTCAGTTCTCTTGGACATGTTTCTAGAAGTGGAATTGTTGGGTCCTATGGTAAACCTATGTTGAACCTTTTGAGGAACCACCACACTGTTCTCCAAAACAGCCGTACCACCTCACATTCCCACCAGTGATGTGTGGAGGTTGCAATTTCTCCATATCTGGTCAACATTTGTTATTGTCTTTTTTTTTTTATTAAACAAATTTTTTTAATGTTTATTTCTGGAAGAGAGACAGTGTGTGAGCGGGTGAGGGGCAGAGAGAGAGGGAGACACAGAATCCGAAGCAGGCTCCAGGCTCCGAGCTGCCAGCACAGAGCCTGATGCAGGGCTCGAACTCACAGAGTGTGAGATCATGACCTAAGCTGAAGTTGGATGCTTAGCCGACTGAGCCACCCAGGCACCCGTTACTGTCTGTCTTGTTTATGAGAGCCACCCTAGTGGGTATGAAGTAGTATATCATGTGGTTTGGATCTGTGTTTCCCCAACGACTTACAATGTTGAGCATTTTTTCATGTGCTTGATGGTCATTTGAGCATCTTTGTTGGAGAAATGTCTATTTATATCCTTTGCCCATTTTAATTAATTTTTTTTAAAGCTTATCCACTTATTCTAGACAGAGAGAGAGAGAGAGAGAGAGAGAGAGAGCACGCTCAGGGGAGGGGCAGAGAGAGATGGAGAGAGAGAATCCTTAGCAGGCTCTGTGCTGTTGGCCTGGAGCCTGATGTGGGGCTCCGTCTCACCGTGAGCTCATGACCTGAGCCGAAATCAAGAGTCAGATGTTTAACCGACTGAGCTGCCCAGGCACCCAGGCTTCTGCCCCAACATCCACTTCTTCCCGTGCAGCATTGTGATTTTGCTGAGGAAACCACACCTTAGAACTCTTAGCTCCTGCCTTTCAGGTGAGGCCACGTGCACTCCGGGGCTGCAGAAGTGGAGCCCATGATGGCCTCGGCTGTTGGCACATACTATCTGTAACACACCACCTGGATCAGTGATGGCCATGGGCCTCCAACCAAGCCAGTCAGCCTCAAAGAGGTCCCATTTTTCTCTGGATTACCTCCTGGGGAAGTGGGCCAGCTCTGGTGCTGATGGGGCTACCACCACCCTGAGCCTGAGCCTGGAGTCTCCCTGCAGGAAGCAGGGTAGCAAATGAGAACTGGTGTCCATGTATGAGGGTCAGACCATGCACAAGGTTCCCCCTGGCACGTTAGCTCTGCTAAATTCCCCTTTTGCTTAAGCCAGTTTTGTCTGGGGTTTCTGCCACTTCACCCAAGAGTCCCTCACTGATGCAGGTTACCACCAACAGCACTCAATGTGGACAAAGCAGCTTTTTCAGTAGGTTTTTATTGAAATGGTTATATTAGCAAATCCCACACATACAGGTATACACTATCAGCATATAGGTATATACCATACCATTTCACTACTTAATTATACTTACATTAACCATATGGACCTAGGCCATTGTGCTGCCCAGGACATTTCAAAGGGCTTATAAGATCTGATTGCCAATAATCAGCTCACATTTTACTCGCAGGTAATCTGTGTTCTAGACAAAGTAACTCCCCCTACAGTGAGCCCCCAAATGAAGCAAATGATCAATTTTGCTTTTGGGCTATTTGATGTATGTTTTTTCTGGCACAAGCTATCCATTGGTGAGTTAAAATTCAAGTGCATAGTTTCCCTTTCATCCCTCAAGGTGGAAGATAAGTCATTTGCCACATTTAGGTATATCCCAAGCCTCCCCCACCCCAAATTACCTGTGCTACAGTTAGAAAAATAGTTTTGTATGCCATCCTCTGAGATGTTGTGCATAGTTAGCAGGAACCCAGAATAAGAGAGCTCTGTGAATGACCCAAATATGAAAGGGGTAACTTTAATATTTTATATGAGTACAAAAGCTACTGAGGGTCAAAAACAATTGTGACATATGTAGCCTTCAGTTTGGACCAACTCCTTCTCTTGTACAGGAAGAAGACTATTCTAGTAGGTGACGCTGTTCCCCATACCCCAAATAGCATTTCATAGCTTGGAGTCTTTTGCTTCTGTGATCACACCGGTCAGGTTTCCTTAGGCAGAGCCACAGCCACTTGGGAGTGGACCCTGCTTCTCGTTCTCAGCTTTAGACTTGGCTTTAGATTCTGGCCCCAAGCACCAGCCAAGGGCGCCCCTACTCCAGTTGGCTCAGCAAGCCAGGGGGATGTAGGACACAGTGCTCTCTCTACGAAGGCATGTGTCATTTCAGGCTGGGTACCCAGTAAAGGTGCTGGGGACGCAGACACTAGCCACAGCTAGTTGACTTTGTCCACACAGCATACAGTCAGCAGGCAGGTAACCTGCTTAGCAACAGCTTACTTGAGTGAAGGGAAAGAAATGGCCTGGATATTAGAGTCTACTTACCCCCCACCCCACCTTTTGTCTTTATAGCCATCTCAGCTCAGTACCTACCAGTCACTAGAATAGTCCTTTAATATCACACAGTGTAAATACACTTGGACTTAATTGTGGATGAAGGGTAATTCTGAAAACAAATTAGGATCCACTTTGTGCTGGGTTAAATTTGTAAAAATATAGCTCAGAACGATCATCTGGGGCTTTTGACAGTTGCTGGGAGTCCTAAAGAGAGCTGGAGAGAGGGTGATTGTGGAGGGGGTAAGGAGCTGATGAAGGCCAGCCAGGGTTGCCAGATGACCAACCGACATGCGTCTTCCCTACACATGTGCCCACCCAAGTGGATGACAGTGGACTGGTGGGAAATGAGCCGTTTCAGACCAGCATTCGACTGGGCCGGGGATCCTCAAGGTTGTGTCCCAGGAGATTCAAGATCCACTGCGGCAAAGAAAAGGGTGCCAATGACTTCCTCCAGCTCTTGGCTTTTCCACCAAAGGAGAATGTGTGTGTGGTTTATAAAGGCGCTTCCGCTGATTCTCAACACCACCCTTGGCTTGAGCACCGGGGCTCTGGCAGCTGTCTCTGGGCCCCTGGCAACGCTCCTTGGGCCTGCCGTTTCAGAGAAACTCTTTCCTTTCAGGATGCCAGGCCAGTTGGTGCCACCTCGAACCTTGGTCTTTTGTGGTATATGCATGTAGAAGATTCAATGGGAGGAACTAGGAAAGCCCAGGAAGAAGGTCTGAGGGATTCCAGCAGCACTGAATCCTTCTGAAAGTTTAATACTCAAGTTTGCATGAAATTCAAAATTTTGAAAATTTGTTTTCTTTTTTTTTTTGTCACAAAGTATCTTCCTTCTCCCCCAAGTCAGAGTGAAGAAAACAGGGAAGAAAAAAAAAAAAAAAAAAAAAAAAAAAAAAAAGGCTTGAGCTAGAGTGAACTGCCAGACGGAAAATTCCAGGTAAGTCCTGGGTTGTGGGCTGGGGGCCCCCATGGGGCCTTGTTAGACCGTGAGACAGTGAGAGCCAAGTCTTGGGTGCAGACATGTCATTCTTCTAAGTAGCTGAGGCTGCCGGCACCCCTTCCCCTCCACAGTCACTGGAGGCTGGCTGGTGGGATGCAGCTCTCGAGATCACAGGGGACTGATATCACCCCCTGCCTACTAGGGTGCCAGCTGGGCCCTGCTTGTCAAGGCTCAGTCAGTGGGGATCTTTCAGGATATGCCTAAGAAAGAAGGCAACCTTTCTGACTCCACCAGCACCCCGGTGGAGCCCTAGAGAGGGGGTGGGGAAGACGCCAGCTAGTTAGGGTCTCCGTCTCGTCTCGGAGTAGGACATGGAGGGGAAGGGAGACCTTTCGCCCTTCTGCCACACTTGGCTCTTGCTGCTGTTTCGCAGGATGGTAAGCAAAGCACAGTTCCATGCAGCCAACACAGACACCTTACCTCTGTATCCTTCTTTCTGGATTTCCTCTGATGTTATGAGACTTAAAATGTGTAAGTTTCCCAGTCTTGTGAAACATCCATGGATGTCATGTGAACATATGCGCTCATTTTCTCCTTTTCCCACTAGGTTTTGGAATGATTTACCAACGAGGCCACAAGGCACAAGCAGACGCACCTCCCTTGTGACAAGTGCCCTTAGCAGGGAAGACACTTCTTTCAAGCTGTGGGTGTCCTAACAGTTGCCCTGTGATAATGATCCTTTCCTCGGGTGTTGGGAGTAGTGCTCAGGTCAATCAGTCCAAACTCTGTCTCTGGGAGTGAGTGAGGGCCAACTCCTCTGCCCCTCAAGCCATCACCTCCTTTCTTGAAGAGGGAAGTCCCACCCACTGGTTTAAACTAAATTGGTTGCCGACACCTGCTCCTTCTGCTCATCCCTTAAATGTTGGTGTCCCCAGGGCTTTTTCCCAAGCCTGGCTCTCATGTCACTGGGCAATTTCAGCCCCACACTGGCTCCCACCATCATCTGAATGAAGGGAACACCAGGCCTGGCTGGACAGCCTCTCTGGGGAGTCTAACTGTTGTGAGTGTATATGTGTGTGAGTGCATGTGTCTTGTGTACACACCTGTGTGTATGTGTAGGGGTGTAGGGTGTAGGGAGGGAGGGAGGGGGAGAAAGAAGGAGAAGGGGAGAGGAGGGAGAAGGTTTGGGGCATCTGAGGGGCAGGGATTACATGGGGGCTACTTTGGTAGGTCTAGGTGACCTATTCCTTTCAAACACAGCTTCCCAGGAATTCTGACCGCCCTTTCCTTACCTCAGGCTGCCTGAGATCCAGAGCTACACCTCCAGGCCTCCCACTAGAGGGAGGTGGAAAGTGTCCCCACAGGGGCTCTCCCTGGGTCCCACCAACACCTACTGGGTCACCAAGACTGGTCACCTGGACTTCCTCTTCAGGCTGGTGGGACCCCGGGCTCGGGCCTAACAGTGAAGCCCTCGGCCCTGGGGCAGGCCTCAGCACCTGGACATTGCAGTGCCTCTCTGGTCCATACCCTCCCCACTCTCGCTCTTTCCCAGAGATGTGGGCCCTCCCCACAGCCCCGGGAGTGAGACCCATGCCTTTGCCAGTCTCCTGCTCCTCATCCCTCGTCTTCATGGGGCGGGGCAGTGTGCATTCCCATCCTGCCTTCTCATGGCTGCCTGGTGCCCCTCCTTCTGCACCCCGGGGAAACCCCCCTCTCCATGACTCACCGTCATCGTATTTCGCCTCACAGCGCAGTTGGCCAGTGTTCTAGAACAGCCTAAGTCTTCATGATCCCTGGAGCCCCCTCAACTCTGAGTGTAGCAAATAGAACTGAATAAAGGTCTGTTGAGGAAATTAGCCTCGTAATCCTACTCTTTTCCTTATAAATTCTACTTCCTGGAAACCAGTGTTTTTGTTCCATGACATTTAGGAACAGCAACCGCTTGTCAGGTCGACCTGACATTAACACCACCTCCTTGTTTGCCTATAGCAGAACCACAGCCTAAGTGATAAAGGTTAATGGGGAGACAGCATTTTGGGAACCAGTTTCATTTAATGGGAGATCATGGAAAGAATGGGGTGTGAGGGGTAATAAGAATACGAGAAGAGTTTACAAAGCCCATAGGAAATTTCAGGTCAGTCAAATTCAGTAACCTTATTTTGTTTAAACCCTTAGCAACTGCGTGTTTTGGAAGCTGGGCTGCTGGGTGCAGCAGGGCAGCTGGCAGTACAGTCCAAATGGGTGTTCAGGGAAGCGCACCCCTTGGCAGTTCCTCTGAGTCAGGCCTGAGGAGGGGCTGGGGAATGGAGCCTTCCTTCAAAAGCCGGCCTCACCAGACTTGGTGAGGTGTCTTTAACCACCCAGGAGTAGAGCTGGTCTTCCCCTGAGGGGGCAGAGGCCGGGAGCCCTGGACAGACACACTACCCACCCACCACTGGGTGATGCCATGCCTGGCCCTTCTGTTGTTTCCTGGCCAGTGGCCTCTTCCCTCTCCCTGACGGATCAGCAAAAGAGGGCTATGGGCAGTTGCTCACTCCGGAAGTGAAACACAACCAAATCCTAAGTGTTTGCATTTTAACTGTAACGACCCAATTCCTGGCTGATCAGGTGATGGTTATGGCTACCCCAGACCCCACTCCACAAGTATCCTGCGGTGCATGCTGAGAGGTCTGCACCGGGCACGGCCTGGGGACGGGGTGGAGGCCATGCTGGGAGGAAGAGGTGGGAGCCAGGCCCAGCTCAGAGCAGTCCGCAGGAGGGACAGAGGGTTTGCGGTGTAAGCGACTTGTTCCTCTGTCCCTTCTGTTCTTCAAATAGTAACCTTCCCTGCCCCACAAAAAAAACGTTCAGAAGCTATCTACACTTCCTGGCTAATAACCACTGTGGCTGTAAGACTTGGAACAACTGAGATCCTCATATGCTGGGGAAGAGGGTCTGGTCTCTCCATAACCCCAACCAGGCCTGTATGGCCAATAAACTGCTTCTAAACCTCGAACTTCTCAGAGGTAGGGGTGCTGAGAAGGATGTCTCACCCAGACCCCTACCCCGCTCTCTGGGGTCCCTGGAGTGGCTCCACAGAGAAGTCTCCAGCACCGCTGCCAGCAAAGAGGCTGTTATTTGGGACAAATATTGCTATTCCCGGAGTGTATGACCTCCACATAGAAGTTACTGTCTCTCCTGACAAAGGCAGGACGTTCTGTAGCCGAGCAGAAAAGTGGCCTCAATTTTTAGGGAAAAGGTGTCAAGCTGGGACCCAGAGCACTATTCTGAGTGAATTCCCCTGTAAGAAATGCCTCCTTGGTTATTTGACAGTGAAGGCGTGTCCTAGATTTACCAGAAATTCAAATATGTTTTAATACGTAGATATTTAGGGGTCTGAGTTTTTAATTTTTTCTCAGGTCACTTCATTCCTTTTCAGTAAAGGAATGTCTTGAGTAAAATTTAATGTCTACGCTTTTGTGAGACCATACAAATCAGAAGAGAGTGCCCTGCTGGGATCTCAGTTCTGGTGCAGGAAAACAAGGTCATGGTACAGACAACACGGTCAGAATTGAGCCATCTTCCCTGTTGGATGAGCCAAAGCAAACACAAACTTGGGTGTGTGTCTGGAACACTGAGTTCTAATCTCCTTGAGACTCATTCCCTCACCACAGAGCCAGTGGGGCAAACCCGTCTTTCTGAACAGTGCTTTCTTGAAACTGTTTATCAAAAATTTTTTTGTACTACAAAGACAATAAAAAGGGGAAAAAAAAAGAACCAAATAGAAGCCCTTGGTTAAAGGTAAAAAGAAAAAGCTGCTAAGACCTTAAAAATCCTGCACTGTTCTAGCCTCAAATGATTATGGACATAACGCCACTGGTCACTGGGAGGTGACATTCCCAATGGCTATCACCACCCTGGTTCTCTGAGGGGTTTTGCTCGGGGGCGCAACTGTGTTTTGAGGCATCCTAGCAACATGTGATGAGAACAGACACTTAAATGGGAGAAGCCAGCTGCACAGGGAAAAACGGCAAGTGTCCACCTTGAATTTCTGTTTTACAGAGTTAATAAAAATCACAGGGTTGGGGGGGGGGGTCACAGGTCTGAGTGGTTTGCTGCCAGATGTAAGCATATGGAGGCTGAAGTTTCCATTCTCATAAGAAGGATCTAGGACCTGAACACATTTACATCTCTGTATGGCTCCTACTGATAGGAGAAACAGGCTGATCTGCAGTGTGTCCTTGAGCAAAAAGGAGGCGTCAATTTTACAAATTTGCTTGTCGTGGTTCTGTGCTGGGATTACTCTTCACGTACATGTTTCTTGTGACATTAACTCGATGTCATCCCCAGGCGTGTGGGGCGAGCACGTGTGTCCCTGATGTCCACCATGCTGGCCACCGTGTCTTTTTCTGTAAGCCCCTGTGCCTTCTTCATGCCAAGGCTGGTAGGAGGCAACTGGGTCAGACTAGTAAGACTGAAGAGGGGTGCTCATCTGGTATCTAACAGCAAGGAGGTGGTCTGATCTCAAGAAAACACTCAGAGTTGTTCTGGGCTTGACACCCATTGGCCATCACTCCAAGGTCATCCAGAGAAGACTGCCAGGCTGTCCTCGTGGGGCCCACCTCTCCTCACACCTCAGCAGATGCCAAGCAGACAAGTCCACAGGCCTCGGGGTCAGGGCCTTCAGGGCTTCGGTGGTCACAAAAGCACTCGGCCCCCTGTGTCATGCTCTAGAAGGGGGGCTGGAAATGGCAACGAGCAAGACTGCCCGCCCTGCACAGCCGGCAGCCCCACCGTGGTGTGCTGGGTGGTAGTCTCAGAGGAGGGACGAAAGGCAAGCCTTTCTCTCAGGAACCTTTGGCAAGAGGCTCCTCAACAGAAAGTAGGAGAAGAGACAGGAAGATAGAGAGTGGGCCACGTAGCAGCAACTTGTGCCCCACGTCAGTGAGGAGTGTCACCTGCAAGCTTAAGTACGCACTGTAAGTGGGGAGCACAAAAGGTATTTTAAAAACCCCAACATCACCCTGACACAGAATATGCATGTAATTACTCAGAGACATGTTTGCAATGCAACATTGACCCCTGGGCCCCTGCTCTTCTCCAGGAACAGCCAGGCTTGTTGGGACCCATGTTCCTGGCCCAGCTTTGGACAGGTTTTCAGTGCTCCAAGGTCACCTGGACAATAACACTGTCCTCAAAGCCTCACCTTGGGGGAACCTTGCAGTTTAACCCTGAGCCCCAATCTGTGCTTGGAAAGCCCTGCCATTCTTCCACAATGGACACTGACAGAAGAATACAAAATAAGAAAGGTGATCATAAATCAAATCACAAAAGAGGTGACCCCCCAGAGCCCATTTAGAAAAATCAGGTTTTGTTCTCATCATACATGTCCAAAGAGGGTTCGATTGTGGAGAATTCACTTTCATACACCAGACTCCGAGGAGACAAGGAGTTTCGATGAAAGAAGTGACCACCTGGAAAAGGAACAGGAAACACAGACTTAATAGGTCATCAGGCCTCCATTTCCCATGTAGCTCGGAGGAAAGAAGACACATTACCTTCAAAGCATCATATTTTCTAAAGAATCTCCATTTGGGGATCTTACCATGAGAGAAATGGAAAGGATTTGGGCATCCGTTAGTTTGAGCACATTAGAAACATGTAAATCCCAATGTTCGGGTCCCTATGAGATTAACCCTTGGAGCTTTTGAAAGCAAAAGCTGCCTGGTGCCTTGCAAATATGAAGGTTTCTACCCAGGGCCTTGCAATCTGTAGAGGCCTCCTTCTGTACCTTCCACCTGAATACCTGTTCAGGGAGGAGTCTGGTATGTGTGTGTGTGTGTGTTCCGTGTGTGTGTGTGTGTGTGTGCGCATGTTCTGTGTGTGTGCTTCTAGAAGCACTACATGTTTCCCCTCCACTCCACATTTGATATACATGATGTCACATTTTATACATCTTTCTATTCTGTGTATCTCTTAACTAATCTTTGGAGATATAATTGATTTTATTACTCTGTCTTTTGACCTTCATACTAGCATTATAAGAGAACGATCTACTACTTTTACTATATGCTTACTTTTACTAGTGAATTCTTTTTCCTTTCGTGTTTTCTTCTAATTCTGGCCTTTTCTTTCCTGCTTAAAAAAAAAAAATCCCAGGGGCGCCTGGGTGGTGCAGTCGGTTAAGCGTCCGACTTCAGCCAGGTCACGATCTCGCGGTCCGTGAGTTCGAGCCCCGCGTTAGGCTCTGGGCTGATGGCTCTGGGCTGATGGCTCGGAGCCTGGAGCCTGTTTCTGATTCTGTGTCTCCCTCTCTCTCTGCCCCTCCCCCGTTCATGCTCTGTCTCTCTCTGTCCCAAAAATAAATAAACGTTGAAAAAAAAAATTAAAAAAAAATCCCTTTAATATTTCTTATAAGGCCAGTATAGTGGTGATAAACTCTTTTAACTTTTGTTTGTTTGGGAAACTTTTCGTATCTCCTCCAAGTCTGAATAATTTTGCCAGATAGAGTATTCTTGGTTGTAGGTTTTTTTGTTTTTTGTTTTTTTTCTTTCAGGACTTTGAATATGTCATGCCACTCCCTTCTGGCCTGCAAAGGTTCTGTTGAAAAATCTGCTCATGGCCTTAGGGGTTTCCCTTGTACATAACTATTTGCTTTTGCTGTTTTAAAAATTCTCTAACTTTAATCTTTGACATTTTAATTATTATGTGTCTTGTCATGGACCTCTATGGCTTCAGCTTGTTTGGGGCTCT